AAGTCGTGTCAGGTAGCGCATCATGTGACCATCGCCTAATTTGGACTAGTTACCTGACACGAAAATGCCCCACCTACATGCGACCTGTGCACTCGAAAACAATGTACATAGTGTCATGACGTATTTAAAACATGCAAACAACTCACTCATCTCGTGCACAATTGAAGCCAAAAATATCAAAGCTTACTCGAATCCAAGGACAACAAAGTACCAGAATATAGATCGATCCGTGTGACCAAGACACCCTGTTCCCAGACGCCTATCCAGCCCGAAAATGAGGTTCGCGGGTCGGTCCATAACAGCAGCAATGGGATATCATCGAGTCACTGTTTCAGCCAATTGTCTTCGCCACACTCTGGATTCAGGCTTCCAGAGTGTTTCCCCCGATTCCTGAACCCCCAGGACATCTGCCAAATAAGCACAGAAATTGGAATCACAATCAGTAGAATCCAAACTATACCGGATAAAAACAACATGACCGTAGAGAAAATCCAGAAAGCCTGGATCATGGTTTTGTACCCATAGTCGTCCATAGCCCCAAATCCAAGTTTATCAGCGGGTATGGACGCGATGACTTGCATGGAAGATAGCACAAGTGATATACTCGCGAATCCAAATATAAAAGGTGCGGCCATTCGTTGCACATACGTCTGAATAGACCAATATGGCACCTCATAGAACCAGGCCGTCTTTGCACTTGGTGGTTGGAACAGCCGGACAGCCCAGTGCAACCGTGAGAGGCGCAACTGACCATAGTGGTAGCGTTTGGCAACCTGGGTATCTTCGTAATCCTGGAAGTGCCGAATGAACTGGCACCATGCATTCCACTTGACATGTTCGGGAATAAGGTAATAGTGGTGTGCAAGGACGAAATCTGAGTGATGTCTAATAAGGCAGGTGTAAGATCGGACGAATCCCAATGCAACTAAATGCTTATTGGTACCGATATCTGCCTGGTTTGACTTCTCATCGTTTGAAGATAGATGCACCATCCAGAAATCATGGTTAAGCAGGCACTCCGGTAATGGCTTTATAAACACCTTGTCGTGCCGCCAAACAAGATGTAGTTGGGTGTTCTCAGCCGGCACAATCTCTCGTCCTTTCATCCTCTGTTGATGAAGTGGGTCGATATTTGCTCCGGACTTCCTGGCTACAAGCCAGAGCCTCAGATAGAGCTCATCTAGGATAGGCGTGTTCAGCTCCCGAGCAAGAAATGCATCGACATCCTTCTGGTCTAGGGAAACATTTGGCTGACCAGGAACGCGGTCCTCATAGTCGGCGATTGCTTGGCTTAGCGCTGCCGTCGCAGGGAAGGGAGCGTTCGGGGCAGTGGAACTGGGCATATTGATGAGTTTTACGCATTTGTCCAGTCACTCAATCTCTGAGATGAAGGCTCACTGTGAGAACAAAGGTTGCTGCTCAGAATCTTCGCCGCTGAGCTGTAATTGGGCATGCATGCGACAAGGCTGACACGTGGGCTCAGCTGAGGCTCTTCGACATCGACGACCACCTCAACCATCGCACTCTCTGGACTAGAAGCCTGGTATATTTCATTTCACTTTGAATTCTCGTCGGAACCCCCTTGAAAAGAAACCCCTTGAAAATTAAAACCGAAACTTGCAGACCTTGCCGAGGTCATGACTACGCTGACGATTCGCATCTTATCTACTCTTTTTTCATCATATCAGCGGCGTTTGTCTATGGCCGGGCAGCAAAAAAGATTCCATCGCGACTGAACGCCGAGCAGCGACCACGCTCAAGTTTCGGTATTGTGAAAGTAGAGCATTAGACGTGAAAAAAAGGGTACTTGGATCTGAGCATCCAGATACATTGACCAATGTTGACAGCCTCGGCGACATATTTGAGAGGCAGGGAAAATATGTCGAGGCTGGGGCACTGTATCGACAAACTTTGGAAATGAGAATGAAGGTGCTAGGCCCAGAGCATCCAGACACACTGACTAGTCTCAATAACTTTGGTTTAGTTGCTGGCAGGCAGGGAAAACATAACAAGTTAGAGATACTGCACCAAAAAGTATTAGGAATAAGGGAGAAGGTGTTGGGAACTGATCATCCGAGCACATTGACTAGTGTCAACAACCTAGGCTTGGCCCTTCAGATGCAGGGGAAGAATCAAGAGGCAGAGGTAATGTATCGACGGGCACTAGATATGAGAGCTAAGGTGCTGGGCCCAGAAGATCCAGCCACATTGGTTAGTATGAATGATCTTGGTGTTGTTTATGGACATCTGGAAAGGCACAAAGATTCGGAGGCAGTGCATCGACAAGCACTTGAACTAAGAGAGAAGGTACTGGGACCAGGTCATCCAAATACACTGGTCAGTGTTAATGACCTTGGCTTCTCCCTTGCCAGGCAGAGGAAACATGAAGAGGCAGAAGAAGCATGTCGACGAGCACTTGAACTCAGAGAGAAGGTGGTGGGGTCAGAGCATCCAGATATACTGCGAAGCGTTAACAACCTCAGATGCGCCCTTATAAGCCAGGGGAAACATGAAGAGGCTCACCGTTTAACAGGGAAGACATTGGGCTTAGATCATTGTTAGAGCATTGCTCTGGGTAATAGTTTTGGAGGCACTAGACCTGTTTGCTGGCCCCACGGGCAAGTGTTCCTGTCAATTTTAATCGGGCATGGGAATAATAGACTATAGTATTTAGTGGGCCGGCATCGAAAGTCTAGTTCTAACTTCCAGGTTCTGGAGATTCTGTATCACCGACGTGTATGTCTCACGCTTGAATATGTGATAACATAATATACCTCAGGAGCGCTCAATACGAGAAATCCAGCCTAAAGAGGAAAAGGGAAGTTGAATGTCGACAGTGTGGGCCAAACAGGGCAAGCCATGTAAACCTGTCATATGTCTCGTGTCGATTGGTTTTGATAAAAAGGGACTATGTACTCCAACACCCCAGCCTCCACATTTAGTGTCGTAGTCCGCCGGCCCAATCAGATAGGGCTGATAGCATGTGCAGCGATAGATAACGAAGATGCAGTTGGAGTAAGTAGTTGGGGTAACTTGATAACATCGATTTGATCTTATCTATTCTCCAACTGAACGTATATGTTAATGTATACGCCGGCTGTCATGTTAGGAGTAGAGCATACACATAGTCCATCATGTCTGTGAATCTTCCCGTCCTTGACCAAGGGGTCGGTTATAGCCTCATCGTGGGATTTGGCGCATTCTTTGCCATTTCAATGACCTCCTTGTCCCTTCTACTTGCCCGCTATAAGTCTCAGATTCAAACTTCTGAGATGCTTATGACTGCCAATCACTCGCTAAAAGTCGGTTTGATTGCCTCGGCTGTTGTTTCGTCCTGGACACTTGCAGCGACTTTGTTGAGTTCTACCACAGGTATATCCACCAATACCAGTTCAATTGGCATTGCTAATTTGGACGACAGAGGCATACCAATACGGCGTATCCGGCCCCTTCTGGTACGGAGCAGGCTGCACGATACAAATATTCCTCTTCGCAATCGCCGCCATCGAGCTAAAACGCAAGGCCCCACAAGCCCATACATTCCTCGAAGTCGTGCGAACTCGCTATGGCTACCTCGGCCACATAGTTCTCATGTGCTACTCGCTATTCTTCCAGATTTTCACCAGTGTGAATCTGTTAGTCGGTGGGTCTACAATATTCACCACGATGACGGGGATGAGCAGCGAGGCAGCTTGTTTCCTTGTTCCGGCGTTTATCATGACATATACTATCTTTGGTGGGATTAAGGCTGCTTTCTTGACGGATTGGTTGAATACGGTGGTTATTTACGCGATTATGCTGGCGAGTCTCTTCGCGGCTTATGTTTCTTCTTCGGGTGTTATTGGGTCTCCGGAGCGTCTGTATAAGCTTCTTCAGGAGGTTGCCACCCTACATCCAGTCGCAGGAAATGAGGATGGGTCTTATGTGACCATGAAAAGCGACAATGGAGGCTACACCGGTTTGGTATTCATTGGAGCGGGTTTTGCTGCAGCAGTGGACTCCCAACTCTTTCAGAAAGCCATCGCAGCAGATCCTTCAGCAACGCTTTCGGGATATATTCTTGGAGGACTCTGCTGGTTTACTATTCCTTTCGTCACAGCTACCACGTTCGGCCTCACGGCTGCTGCCACAGAGCATCTTCCGTCTTTTCCGACATACCCGAACCGAATGACCAGTGACCAAGTGAGCTCGGGAATGGCTATGCCGTTTGGCGCGATGGCGCTCTGGGGAAAGGGTGGCGCCGTGGCCATTCTAATCAGTGTCCTTATGGCTGTTACTGCAAATGTGAGTTCCCTTTCCGGGGTATATACCATCGAGAAATCCTAACCTCTGGTAAGATGGCCTCAGAAACCATCGCCAACAGCGCCCTCGTCACCTACGACATCTACAAAGCCTACATAAACCCCGCCGCAACAGGCAAACAACTCGTCCGCGTCTCCCACATCACCATAGTCGCCTTCGACCTCGTCGTCCCCTGCATCGCCATCGGCCTAATCCACGCCGGTTTCAACGTCGACTGGCTCCTCAAAGCAATCGGCATCTTCGTCGACTCTGCAATCATCCCAATGGCCTGCACGATCCTATGGCGGAAACAATCACGGCTCGCTGTTGTTGGGGCTCCGCTGATTTCCTCTGCGGCTGCTATTACGGCGTGGTTGCTTACTGCGTATACGCATTATGGGGAGGTGACGATTGCGACTACGAGTGAGACGTTTCCGCTTGTGGCGGGGAATATGGTGTCGCTTTGTGGGCCGATTGTTGTGACGCCTGTTTTGACTTATCTCAGGCCCGATGATTTTGATTGGGGGCTTCTTAAGCAGCTTAAGTCTGACCGCGGTGTTGAGACATCTAGTACAGTTCATGAGCACGGAGTTGAGGATGATAAGGCTATGGATACGCGTCTGAGAAAGTCGAGGAACAAGGCATGCGCGCTGGCTGCGTTTCTGTGTCTTTCATTTCTGATTTTGTGGCCGATTCCCATGTACGGCACTGACTACGGTAAGTCTCCTTTGAGCTTTAAAAAAGTTTATGAGAGTTTCCACTAACACTGACTTGACTAGTGTTCTCACCGGGCTTCTTCAAAGGCTGGATCGTCATCGTGTTCATATGGGCCTTTTTCGCTGCCATTACCATCACCTGTCTACCGATATTCGAGAGTCGAGGTGATATCGTCGATTTCGTCAAGTATATGCTCGGCATGAAACGACCGATGGCGGTATCTGTGGCAGAGGGTCATGATCTGGATGGGGAAGAAGGCAACACTACCTTCGTTGCAGTGGAAGAGAAAAGCAAGGGTTGAGCAGAGATGGGACTTTCTAGAATCCAGATACATCAAGATAAAATATACGTGCATTCAAGACAAAGAAAGACTAATATTCTCCTGTTGCACAATATTAATCCAATCAACCTCTCGTCCACAACCTGTAACATCATCCACCCCCTTCCTCACACTCCTCAACCGCCATAACTTCTCTAGAACAGATAAAGCAACGTGAACGTTCCGGAACCCCCGGGACTCAATCATATCGCGCATACGGCACTGGATGCTCTGGATATGTTCTTCTTGCATGGCTTCTCCGCCGGCGAGGAAGAGAGGGAAGAGTAATGTACACTCGGGCAAGCTGCGCTTTGGCATTTGTTCAATGTGTACGACGATGTTTGTGACTTGGGATGCAGCTTTAGAGGAATTCTCGGCTAGTTTGCTTGGAGGAAGTGCCCGGATCGGCCAATCAGAACCTGAGCACTAACGGCGCCGGAAGTGGACACATTATTGGTTTTTAAATGGCTCGCTTAATCCAGCTCAATGGTTCAAGATTGCTAAATTACAAAGCTCAAATGTAAAGATCTCACCGGACAAACTGATCAGCAAAACTCGCCCCTAGTCCAGCTTCTTCATAGTGCTTCCTAGCAGCCTGCAACTTGCTAAACACATCCTCCACTGCCAGCGCCGTCCCATCCGGATCCACGTAGATATAAGCCCCAGTAACATGAAACAGCGTCATCATTTCCTTCACGTCCCCGGGAACCTCCAGCGTATGGATATCCCCGGGTGGCTCAAACGCATACCCCCTTCCTCGGCCCACCAGTCATGTTCAAGATAGTGCCATCGGCCCCGGAGGACAGTGGCATGCACGGGGCCTGTATGTCTGTGTCTCGAGAGGATCCCGCTTTTCCGGACCCGGAGGATGTTCACAAAGTAGCCGTGAGAGACGTTGAAGCAGAGTGGGCAGAACCAGACGTCTGGGGCTTGGGGTACCCATAGGCGTTCGTTGTGGGTGTCGAGGTGTAGGACCCCGGGGACGACGAGGTCTTCGGGGACGTTAGGTAGTTTGGGGCCTTGGTAGGCAAGGGTGGGATTGTGGTTGTGATCCATGCTGGTTTTCAGGACTCGCTTAGGTTAACTTCTAGAAGAAGGGTACCCGGTTTGCCGCCATACCTTTCGGTCAATATTGGTGATTGTATCGTTCAATGGTGATTATGTAGGAATCCATGTATTTTGCACGTGGCAATGGCTTCTCTTTTATATATTTGACCTGGAATCTTCACAGTGAGTGGGCGTCAATGGCGGCATACATTCAACCTGCATTCCACGGTCCGGTTATCTCCGTCAGCGTCAACAGCGACGTTGATCATAAAGACCCCACAAAGTCTATATATATTGCTGTACCCGACCTCATGGCCACTTAATCACTGGAAAAATACCACACAAAATGCCAACCGACGACTTCGTTTCTCGTTCCCACATTCTCCACCGTCCCTTCGCCGCTCGGCCCCTAAACATCGTACGAGGCGACGGAATCAGACTCGTCCTCGAAAACGGTCGGAGCATCATCGACGCAAGCTGCGGCCCATCGGTCTCATGTATCGGTCACACCCAACCCGAGATAACAGAGGCTATCACCGCCCATCTCCACAACAACATTGCCTATGTCTACTCAGGCTCTCCCCACGCCAACAGCGCGACAGAGGAACTAGCCAGAACACTCCTTGCCGATAAGCCAGGTGGACTGTGCAAAGTAATCTTCGTGAACTCTGGTAGCGAGGCAACGGATGCAGCGCTGAAACTGGCCGTGCAGTATTGGAACGAGAAGGGGCAGCCCCAGCGGACTAGGTTTATTGCCCGGAAGCAGAGCTACCACGGGAATACGATTGGTGCGCTTTGTGTGTCGGGGCATGAATCCCGGAGGGCTTTTTATCAAGATTTTATGTCGTCGAATGTGTCGTTTGTTGATCCTTGCTATGCGTACCGGATGAAGGGTGACCAGGAGACGGATGAGGAGTTTGTGGCTCGCTTGGCGCGACAGTTTGAAGATGAGATACTGCGTTTAGGTCCTGAGAATGTTGCTGGGTTTGTTGCGGAGACGGTTAGCGGGCCTACGCTAGGATGCGCGCCTGTTGTGCCAGGGTATTTCAGAGCTGTTCGGGACATTTGTGATCGGTATGGTGTTCTATTGATATTAGATGAGGTACGACCTGCTTTCTTTATAATTGCCTTTGCTGCAAAAACACATCTAACACTAGCAAGATCATGTGTGGAATGGGGCAAAACAGGCACCATGCATGCATGGGAGCAGGAAGGAATTCGTAGCCCAGATATCCAGACAATCGGCAAAGCCCTAGGTGCGGGCTTCGTACCTCTTTCTGGTGTACTGCTATACGAAAAGATCTTCGACGCGTTGTCTGCTGCTGGATCCGGTGGCTTGGCGCATGGCCATACCTTTCAGGTATGCTATCCTTCCCTCTTACCCTAATGAAATTGCGAGCGTGCTAACGGCGCTAGGCTCACCCACTTGCTTGTGCTGCTGCCCTCGCGGCTCAGAAGATAATCAAACGGGACAATCTGATTGAGCGAGTAGGATCCCATGGGAAGTAACCTCGAAGCGCTCTTACACGAGAAAATTGACCCTCTTCCATTCGTGGGCGACATACGTGGACGGGGTCTGTTCTGGGCCGTGGAGTTTGTCGCGGACAAACAGTCTAAGACACCGTTCACTCCTGAAGCCGACTTCTCTAATACGATCGTGAGAAACGCTCTCAAAAACGGCTTGAATATATTGGGGAATCTAGGACATACTGGGAGATACTATATTGACCATGTTATTATCTGTCCTCCGTACATTGTGACGGAGAGTGATCTTGAGCAGATTGTGTGTCGCTTTTGCGGGATGCAATCATCGAGACAAGTCGGCCATTTCTTGAATGAAGAGGTACCTTTTACCGTTTAGCTTAGCTAGTTACAAAACCATTCCATGTCCTCATATAATCAATAAAACTCTCACTGAGACCCGTCTCCCTCAAATAACCCTCCGTCACAGGCAACGCCGGCGCACAATACTCATAATCCAACCCAGCACGCCTCGGACACTCAGCACAAGAACAGCCGCCTTCCCAACCATAACAAAATGACACCCAGCATCAAGCACATCAGCAGCCTGACGCGCACTCATAACATGTACGTCCCTTCGAACGGCGGCTCCTGCACCTCCTTCCGATAATCCCACACAGCCAAATCCAGATAATCAATCTTCTCCTCGTGCATCGCCCTCGCAGCAACATCCCGGACCTCGGAAAGCGATAACCCATACCTCGGAAAGCCGCAGGCCGATTTGGAAATCAGCCCGACACGAACCGTCCGGGTAGTATATATTCTTGTTAGTTAATTAATACATATACATACATAAGCTCCTACACAGAGTTTCACTTGCTATCGCAGGACCTCGAAAGTGAAGGAAGCTCTTTCCATGAACACTTCTCGACCAGCCTGGCGTTTATTTTCCATATCAAGCTCCCCATCTTGAGACCAATGGCCATACACAGGGAAACAGGGCTTCTCTACATATACACATGATCACTCAATCGACCTTCTCTCGGTGAATATCCGACTATGGAAACCCCAAAATGAAGGGTCAAGCGCCACCAATCTCCGTCGCGGCTCGGCTGGTCCAATTCCAATTCCTCGGAAATATGCCACTTCCTTCTCGGACGAGTCCAACCCGACTGTCCGCTTCCGAAGTGGCCACTGCTCTAGTTATACTCCGAAAACGTACTCCGAAAATGCACTCCGAAAATGCACTCCGAAAATGCACCAAGCACCAGCCAAGGAAACAGCCGAGCTTATGTTATCAACACAGCAGATCCACTAACGTAATCCACGGCCGAGCCGTCCACACGGCCGTCCCGTCCACTTCCTCCGCAACCACCACGAATTTGAAGCTTTGCAACCACTAACACCATTGAATTAAAATATATAACAGACAAAATATCTAGCTATTTATTAGGGCAGCTTCTTATTGTATGCCCAACAGTCCCACAGCCACTACAGCGTGGTGAAGCGCGTTGACGAGGCATAGGTGTAAGCTCATCAACCTGCTCATTAAGCTGTGTATCAAGCTGCTGTATATGCTCACGGCCTTCTTGTACAGAGATAAATAAATCATTCCCTAGAGAAGCACGTTTCCTTGCCTTCTTCTTTATTTTACGTTCACCTTCAGCTCGTAGAACCTTGATTTCTTGATGAAGAAATAGATTCATATTCATTGCCACCTGTGCAGCCTTCTCAAGATGTTGAATATGAGAGACTGGACTGCTAGAAAGTGTTCTTTTCTTTTGAAGACTTCTCTGTAGGCTTTGAACCTTGCGATCAATCTGGTGAGGATTTTGAGGTGTTTCAAAAGCAGATGATGTTGAGCCTTCAACAAGTAATGGTGGTGTTGGTGTACGAAGTTGAAAGGTGATTTTCTCAAGAACCCAGTATTGATCAAGAGGTTTGAGCCCAGCTCCTGCAAAGCCATTGCATATATTCCTTGGGAGAAAGACTGCTTCACGTGCAGGAGGATATAGGTATAGAAAATCCTCCTTATCAATGTGGTTATTTCCAGCAACCATCACCCCCTCAACCAATTTGCCATATGCACGTTTGAGTGGTCCAAAAACACCAACATCCAGTGGTTGAAGGAGATGAGAT